TCCCAATCCATGGGCTTTCTACTAGTTATGTCCTTTGCCATGCAGAAGCTCTGCATCTTCATGCAATCCCATTTGTCCAACCTTTCTTTGATTTGTTGTGTTTCTGGGTCTCCATTAAGAAAATTTCTGCCTGTTCGAAGGAGACCTAGGGTTTCTCCTATTCCATCCTGTAATGTTTTCAAAGTGTCTGCTTTGACTCCAAGGTCTTTGATCCATTTGGAGTTGATTCTGGTGCAGGGTGATATATAAAGATCTAGCTTTAGTTTTCTACAGGTGATTAGCCAATTTTGCCAGCACCATTTACTAAAGAGCCTATCTTTCTTCCATTCTATTTTTTAAGCTCCCTTATTGAAGATTAGGGGGCTATAAGTCTGTGGATTCATTTTTGGGTTTTCAATTCTATTCCCTTGATCCTGAGGTCTCTTCTTGTGCCAGTACCAAGCTGTTTTTATTACTGTGGCTTTGTAGTAGAGTTTGAAATTTGGAATTGATATTCCTCCAGCAGTGTTCTGTTAAGGATAATTTTTCCTATTCAGGGTCTTTTATTGTTCCATATGAATTTTGGTATTGAATAAGCTCTATTTTTTAAATGTAAGGGCTGGTCAAGAACACAACTCACTGAGGTGGCATAAAATAATTACACATTACCTTGCTCAGAAAATTACAGTATTGGAAACACTTTGAATCATCAGTGTTTACCACACTATTAAAACAGTAATTCTCCTGAGGTTCAGCAATATGACTTCTACTAGGAACCTGAGCTATGAGAAGCAGCAGGTAGTGAGTGAGTTTAAAATCTAGACTCTCTTGGGACTAGGAAGGTGCTCAGTGGTAGAGTGCTTGCCTTGTATGCATGAGGCCCTGGGTTCAATTCCTCAGCACCACATAAGCAGAAAAATCAGGAAATAGCTCTGTGGTTCAAGTGGTATAGCACTAGCCTTGAGCTGAAGAGCTGAGGGACAGTGCCCAGGCCCACTGTTCAGGCCCCATGACTAACAACATCAACAACAACAAAAAGAATAAAATCTAGACTCTCCATTTATAGGAATCTCAAGAAACCACAGAGTAATTAAAAGATAGACAAACAGATAGATAACCATGTATTCAATAAGGTCAGTAATCTAGTAAACAAGTGAAATTCGAGTTATATAAGTTCATTGTTGGTTCAATTATGAGTCAGACACAAAGAAGTTATTAACTACAGTATCATAATTACCAATAGTTCTCAAATAGAATAGCTAGACAAGGTGAGGTACTCCTTTATATATCATAAAACATATTGTAATTTCTCCTAAATCCTGAATATGCTAATTTTTCTTATAAAGAGAAAATGATTTATAAGGTATGGCCTGGCATGAAGCGGAATACTAATAAGAAGGAAACTTGTATCCAATCTATGTTAAAGAAGTCATTAAATAAAAGCACTGAACAGGGACAATGAGGAGTTGTGATAGATTTTAAGCAATAAAGAAATATAAAGATGATTTGTATTACTGGCAGTGTAGAGGCTAGTTAGAAAGCTGCTACTTGCATAAGAGTATGTATTTGCAGGACCTGGTCTAAGAAAGAAGTCATAGAAAATGTTAGCCAGGTGTTGGTGGCTCACACCTATAGTCCTAACTACTCAAGAGGCTGAAATCTTAGGGTCATGGTTTAAAGGCAGCCTGGCAGTAAAGTCTGTGAGATTCTTATCTCCAATTAATCACAGAAAAATCCAGAAGTGGTGCTTTGGTAAAGTGATAGAATGTTCGTGGTGAGCAAAAGAAGCTTAGGGACAGTGCCCAGGACCAGAATTCATGCCCCAGGACCAGTTAAGAAAAAAGAAAATGTTAAATATTATAATCATCTATTTAACTACAAGTAGAGAAAACCAAAAAAAATCATTGCCTAATATTTTCTCCTGTTATTGTACTGGGGAAGAAAGGCAGAAATTCCATTAAGAACAACTTAGTTATCTGAGTGAGTACCAACACTCTGAATCAGCAAAACAGTACAATGATGCATATGGATCAGGGAACTCCACAGGAGATCGGGGATACACAGCAAGGTTGTGGAGAAGAAGAGACCAACTAGCAGGGAGACACATAAAAAATAAGTTCTAAATGAAGACTATGATAACTGATTAAAAAGGTAAAATACATTCATTCTTTGAGAAAAAGGACAATGATGAATGATTGCAGATAGTGCTGATAAATTCTGAAGTAAAGAAAGTTCATTTACTCAACAGTTTTAGAGAATTCTTAGTAAAGGGGAATACTCTCCATTTCCGACAGCAAATTGAAACTTTTCATTGCCTGAGAGTACCACTCTATTTCCATCATTTCTGCCCTGTATGATAGTAGGAGAATCAGAGTTGTCATTCTGACATGTTCTATTTTAACTAGAAAATTCTTATCATTCCTTCAAGACTTAACTGATCAAAGTATGCTATAAGAAGAATTGTCTGTGGCTAAGTGTGGTAGCACAAACCTATATCCCCACCTTCTCAGGAAGATCATACTTTGAGGCTAGTACTGGAGAAAAAAGTTAGCAAGACTCCATATAAACCAACAATCTTAGTGTGCTGTTACATGCCTATAATCCCAGTTATTCAGGAGGAGAAGGTTTGTGGTCTAGTCCTCTAGAAGATCCTATATAAAAAGTCATTTTTATTCAACTTCCTGAATAAGGCAAGCTTTTGCTATCATTTTTATTACCCTGTATTTACCTCTATTAAAATTAGTAGAACTATACATTGTGGTTAGTCCAAACTAACCTAGACATAACTAACATAACTCTAATTGTAAATTAGAGTTTTCTTTAATCACAACATTCATCAGGTTTCCCATTAATCTCCCTTAAGCCACGTACTATATTTTTCCCACAGGGTAGACAAAAACAAAGCTGCTAGCTGGTAGACTGATAGAAATGTAAAAATCAAGCAAGATTTTATCTTATCCATTAAAGTAATCCAAATCAAATAATTATATATAGTTTTAAAGCTCTAAAACTTCTTCCTTAAACAAGACACACCAACTCATTTCTGTGAGAATAAGGAATATGCTCCAGCAAAAAGACTGAATTTTTTGTTGTTCCTTAGAGACTGTAAATCAAGAATTCACTATTTTCAAATATTTATCGGTATCTCTCAAAAACATTATAACTTTCTGTGAAATAATTTTTCTAACTTTAAAGGTTAATATTCATAATGTTCTTGGTCTGAAGTGAGCCTAATTTATTTTCTTCTATAATCACTTATTTGCTACTTAACTTATGGAATTCAGTATCACATTTTAAACTAAAAGTTACAACAATTGAACTATTGCTCGGTGCATGCCTCCAAGATTAGTGCTATTATAACCCTCACATAGTAAACTGGTTATAAGAACATGCTATCTTGTCAGATTGACTATGTTCTATTAAGCAGCAAGTATATTCTCAAAAAGGAACTATTACACGATTCAAATAGGGAGCAAAATGTTGTTCCTGTATGGACATTATTCAGGTCTGAATTGAAAACAATACTATAACACTGAGTTATGGGATAAGTCTGTTCTCTCAAAATTTATGTTTGGAAATCTTATCTCCCTCTTAGAAGATGACTTTACTGGGAGTTAAAGTCTTGATTACTTCTAGAGATAATCATGTTCAAAATGAGATAGAGTAAATCATAATCTAATTTAACTAGTATCTTATAAGAGAAAGGTGAGAGACACCAACACAGGGAATACTGCAGTGTTAAGATGAAAGATTAGAGTGTAGCTTCTCCTACACAAAGAAACGCCAAAGAAGGCTAACAATCACCAGGTGCTAGAGGACAAAAACTAAACAGAGTTCAGTTAGAAGGATGTAGGCTTATTAACACCATGACATCAGGCTTCCAGAAGGGTGAGAAGATGAATGTCTAGTGTTTAATCAGTTTAGTATGTGGTACTCTCGTTATGTTGACCATACCAAATTAAAACAATGTGAACTAAGCAAAGGGGAAAATACTGCATAAGTTACCAGAACTAGGTACCAATGGCTCATACTTATAATCATCGCTATTCAGAAGATTAAAATCTGAAGATCTCTATTTGAACAAGGCAGGGCAGGACAGTCAGTGAGACCTATCTCCAATTAATTACAAAAAAGCCTAAAGTGGAACTGTGTCTCCAGTGGTAAAGCACTAGCCTCAAGCAAAGAAAAAGAAAGAAAAATTTTAAAAAAGCTCAGGGACAGTGCCCTGAGTTTAAGCCCCAAGACTGACATATAAAAATATAAATATAAAATATAAATAAAAAAGCTAAGGGAGAGTACCCTATGTTTCTCTCTCTCTCTTTATCTCTCTGTCTCTCTCTCTCTCACATACACACACACATACACACACACCAAATTTCTAATTGATAAGTAGAACCAATGTTCTTAGGTTTCAAAGAATAGTTATATAAACTGACCCTGACATTCTCTCTCTTTCTCTGTCTCTCACACACATTATTTTTAACTATAGAATATGAACAATTATTTGTAAAATAAGATTATGCATACATTTCTTATTATTTTCAACATAATTCAACCATCTGTTATCAAGAATATAAGGAACAACAAGAATGTAAGATATAACAAGAGCCAAACCCTACTAGATGGGAATATACAAACAAGTCCCAATTGCCCCTTTTAGAATATTCACAGAATCTGTTAAGATGCATTATTACTTTTGATTTGTTTATATTGTATTGTTCTGTAATCTCTTTTAAAAAGGAAAGCTTCTTTACCAAAGATGAAGTTCTGTGAACATGTCACATACATCTAGATACATAGGAAAAATTATGAAATAATCATTTGTAATAGTCAAATCATGTTGTTTGTTCTAAAAGAAATGGTATCACCTTTATATTGCTAGAAATGAAAATACATTATGTCCAAATTTGTATCTTAATTATTTACTTTTCCCCAGTAGTTTGTTCCATTATGGTAAACTATTAAGTGAGAAGAATAACATTGAATGATCATACAAACTCAAAGGTCTTTAACATACTTACCACTTTCAAAGCATGCATCAAAGACAAGATGACCTTTCTTGGCTTGTCCACAGTAACCATTTGGAAGTACCATATATTTGTTTACATTTCCTCCAATGGAATCATCATTTCCCATATCATTGCCTATATTTAAAAAAATGAGACTCACATTAAACAGAAATCTAAGTGAACTGAGCATTAGAAATCCAGTAAGATTTTGAACATCAATTTATCTTCATTCATACTCATTGACTAGGCAAAAATGTGCAGACAGAAATTAATTAACTATACATTGTAGTACAATAGGAAGACAATACATTTTGAAATCCAAAAATACAGGCTAAGATCTCATTTCTACTATATAATAAGTCTCTATGATCTAAATTAATCAACTTAATAGCCTTAAGCCTCAGTTCCTCTACTTCATTATAAAAAAACCCTATCTTCTTAAGCTACATTAGGAGAATTATATTTAAAAATATCTACTCTCATTATTGAAATCCAAAATATGTTCATTAAATTGCATCACCTAGTTAATAATTAGTAATGTATTTAATGTGTCACAATATATATTAAGTTGTTTTTGTTAAGGTTTAATAGATGGTATTAAGACTTCTAAATGTTCTATCACCAGAAACAATTTGAAAAATACTAAATTAAGATAAGAATTAAGTACTAAATTAGAGTAAGGGTGTTAACAAAAATGTTATCCAAACTTTCAGCCCTTACCTATTTCAGCAGAGGTTTTCATACTTTCACAACCAAGAGTGCATGAAGTAAGTGTATAAGAGTAGTTGTATACAACAGTGCTATGAAAGCTATTTGACACTATAATCATGGTCCAAACAGAGAGTGGAAGATGAGGCAGTTGCAAAGATACTTTCAACTAAAAAAAAAGACTTGGTCCATACTTCTTCCAGAAACTATCACTAAGTGGAAAATTATATAAGAAACAGGTCCTTTCAGAATTGAATGACAAGCAATGATGTCCAAGAAAAATGAAGTGAGGCTGACAATAGCCTCAGCTTTTAGACAACTGACAAATTTTTGGAACCTGGTGCAGCAAAAAAGAATATGGTGGTTTCTTGAGTTGGGAAGACAGAAAAATGAATTTGAAGAAATTGGGAGCCAATTGAAGAAATTGGGTGTCAAACCACCAAAAAAAAAAAAAAAAGTACTAAGAAACTGCTTGAGTCTTTAATTGAATAGTAAGCCATATAGAATAAATCCACAAGGCGAGGCATGAATGACCTGAAAATTGTAGAAAATAATCGCTAAAACACAATGCTACAAACATTTGAGTTTCAACTACCCAAAGTGGAGAACTCATATTAAAAACCCAAAGGTGCATATAAGACCCATACACAGAAAACTAAAAGTAAACTAATAATAGACACTGAGAAAGATGTAACGAAATAATAAGGTATACCATGCTCATGGACTGCAAAATTCACTACTGTTAAAATTAACAATTTTCCAAAAACTGATTTAAGAAAAAAATGCAATCTCAATCAAAATTGTAACAGGCTTTTGGAAGAAAGTAACTAATTGAATCTAAAATTTATATGGAAATCTGGGAACTTAAAATATACAAAGTCAGGCCCTGGTGCTCATGCCTATAATCCAGGGTACTTAGGAGGCTGAGAACTGAGGATTGTTGTTCAAAACTAGTGTGGGAAGAAAAGTTCATGAGATTCTTTTTTGTTTTGGGTTTTTGTTGTTGTTGTTGTTGTTGTTTGTGGTCATGGAGCTTGAACTCTGGGCCTGAGCGCTGTCCCTCAGCTCTTCAGCTCAAGGCTAGTGCTCTACCTCTTGAGTTACAATGATGCCAGTTTTCTAGTGGTTTATTGGAGATAAGAGTTTCACGGCCTTTCCTGCCCAGACTGGCTTTGAACCTTGATCCTCAGATCTCAGCCTTCTGAATAGCTAGGATTTATAGGCGTGAACCACCAGAGCCTGGCTCATGAGATTCTTTTTTTTGTTGTTGTTTTTGTTTTTGTTTTTACAAGTTTTTTTTTTAATTTTATTTTATTTTATTTGTGAACATACTGTACAGAGGGGTTACAATTACATGGGCAGGATAATGTGTACATTTCTTACCAAGCATTGCAGCCTCCTCCTTTGTTTACCCTTCACATCCCTTCCCAGCCTCCCCCCTCCCCCCCCCCACTCCCAATCCTTCTCCTTCCTCCCCCTTCCCCGTTCATGAGATTCTTATCTTCAATTAACTACCATAAAGCCAGAAATGGCATTGTGGCCCATGGTATAGTACAAAAGTTTAGGAACACTGCCCAAGCCTTGAGTTTAAGCCCCAGGACAAGCACAAATTATATATACACAAACAATTATGTAAAATATGAAACATCTGGGAACAAATTGTATGACATAAAGACTGATTTTAAAGCTCCAGCAACCAATACAAGTATAATACAGGCAAATCAGTGGATCAAAATGAAGATTAAAAAATTACATCTAAATGCACAGTTTCAATAAATGTGTAAAAAAAATTCAATTCTGTAGCCACCAAAGAAATGCTAATCAAAACATTTATATTTTCATCATCTTTAAAAAGTTGTACAAAAGGATTTTAATTCGATATGTTAGATTTTGAGTACAATGCATCTTCATTAATACCTCTTTCATTTTTCTACTTCATCTTTCCCAACCCAACACATACCAATTTGCCTTCCATTTTCACATATGTACACTGAATGTTATGACTACATTTACCCAACCTTCCTCTATTAGTCTTCCCCCTCCCCTTGACCTCATATACCATCCTGCCACACAACAATACGTATTCCAGCTTCGTGGTATTCATTTTGTTAAAATGTCAATTAGTTATTCAAAGGAGCCACTGAAATCCTCTCTTGCACATACTCTACTTTAGTTAATGTTTGTGTGTATATGTATATATAATTCATATAACCTTGTATAAGATTGCATATATATTCATAACTTACACCTAACTTCTACATATGAGAGAAGATATGCATCCTTTGTCTCTCTGAGCCTCACTTGATTTGCTTAAGATAATATTTTCCAGGTTCATCCAGTTCCCTGAAAGCGACATAACATCATTCTGAATTCTGATGTATGAGTAAAATTCTATTTATTCAACTGCTTGTTTGTATCCTCCTTAAGGTTATTGAGAAGTTTTTAACTAAAGGTTTTACATTCTTTGTCCAGCATTTGATCTACTTCAATATCTTTGGACTCAATTACTGAAGAGCTACAAATATTTAGAGGAAATCATATTGTTCTTTTTCATATTTCATATGTTTCTATGTTACAATTTGTGCATCTGTTAGATGGATAACTTTTTCACTTGTGATGTGAAAGTCTTCTAAGCCTTTTTTTGAGTGCTGCTCAGAGAAAAAAAGTAAACAACAGTAACAATACCAACATAAAAAAACAAACTATATGGCTGGGCACCAGTGGCTCAACATCTGTAATACCAGCTACTCAGGAGGCTGCGATCTGAGGATCTTGGATACTAAGCAGGAAATTCTGTGAAGCATTTATTTCTTTAATCTCCAATCAATACCAAAAAGTCAGAATTGGAACTATTGGCTAACCTTGAACACAAATGCTCAGGGACAGTGTTCAGGCCTAGAGTTAAAACCCCAGGACCAGTACACACACACACACACACACACACACACACACACACACACACACACACACACTATGTAGAAAGAGTACATCAAATAAAATCAATAATTATATGATCAATAGCAACAGAAAAGAAATAATATACAATAAAGTTTAAAGTTAACAATTAATAAAGTAATAATAAAATGAATTTAGAGTACAGAACAGAAGAAGGGATAAGAGAAAGGGATAAGAGAAAGCATGACCCAAGCAAGGCTTGATAAGCAAATAGAAGGCCCAGAGTTCATTATTATCCCTCCTCAAAAAAAAATAGTTGAAGAAAAAAAGAAGAAAATCTAATTAAAGAGTAAAAAATAATAAAATTAGATAAGAGATACAAAAATGAAAAGAAACAGGAATCAAAAGATTTCTCCTAGGTATTTGGATTGGAGATACTTCTTGACCCTCTAATACTAGACTAAATTATGCAGGGAGGAGGGGAAGGATAATGGGTCATCACTGATACATCTTTTGTAATTCCTCTCTTCTACCAAATAAGTTAGTACTGTATGAAGGCTAATCTTTTCCTTACATTCCCCACTAGATCAAACAAGTTGTGTATTGGCCCTGGCAAGGCTACCGTCTCTCTTAACTTGTGAGCCTGGAGGCACTACTGGCACAGATGAGCTCTGGTAATATGTGAGCTGTGCAGGTGCTCATTTAATTCACAATCCCCAGGCTAGGAATCTAGGACCATGGCATCTACCCATGATCAGCCACTTTCCTGAATTTCCTGCAGACTGAGGGAAGTAAACAGACCACTGAGTTCTATGCTGGAGGGCAAGTCCCAAGAATAAGAAAATGATCCAACATCAGTCTTGGCATAATTAGACCCAAACCTAGTAGTAAACTTGTGACAGCTTTCACCACAGAGCTTGGGGTCACCAACCATTGTGCCCTCTACACTGTGAACTTTCCACTGCTTAGTCTTTCTCAGTAGGTCTGTGACAGACCCTTACCCTCTCCTCAACTGTGTTTCCAGGTCATTTCCCCCATTCACTTAAGCAAGTGTCCCTAAGAACCTTCAAATATGATCGTTCTTTATTTTTTGATACTTATAATAATTCAATCCCAAACACTAAGCCATATCTTAATATGATGACTGAGTATAGCTCTAAAAGATATATTCAATGATGCAATGAAGTTTTTTTCCTCCAAAGCTAGTCTGTATAGAATGATTCCCTTTTAGAACAAATCTTAGTACTAGATTTCAAGCTTATAATAATCCTGGGTTTCTCCTGAGGCTAGAAATTGCCAGCCTTTTTTTTTTATTGTGAAAATACCATACAGACAGGTTACAATTACATGGGCACGGTAATGAGTACATTTCTTATCAAGCATTGTTGCCTCCTCCTTTGTTTCCCCTCCCATCCCTTCCCCCCCCCACCCCACTCTACCCCTCTCTCCCCTTCTCCCCTCCACTCCCCCCCCCCAGCTTTTTATCCTTGGGTTTGCCTGTACTCTCTGAGCTTACCTTGTGCTTGTGGTGC